TTTTTTTTTTCCGAGGCAGAGCATCTCTCTGTTGGCCAAACCAGAGTACAGCTCACTGCAGTCTTGAATTCCTGGGCTTAAGTGATCCTCCTGTCACAGCCTCCCAAGTAGCTAGGAATACAGGTAATGCTACCATGCCTAAGCTAATGTTTCAATTTTTTGTAGAGACAGGGTCTTGTTATGTTGTGTTGGCTGGTCTTGAACTCCTGGCCTCCAGCGATCCATCCACCCAGCCTCCAAAAGTACTGGAATTACAGGAGTGAGCCACTGTGCCCAACCTATTTTCTTTTAACAACTTTGAACTATGAGCATACTGGGGGAGGATGGGAACCTCTAAGTGCAACTTTTTTCCCATATGGTAATCCGATCTCAGGCAATTTGCCTCCATTATTTTGGAGAAAATGTATTCTATAACTGTAAAGATAAATGCAGTGTTCCTTTGAAAAATACACACCTGAGCTGGGGCTGTAGTAGGCATCCTGCGACCAGTGTCTCCCCAACCCCCACAACGTGCACTCAAGTAAACACCAGCTTTAGACAATTAGAAACCTGCTTCCAGTCAACCTTACGCTCACTGAGGCCACTACAGCACCCCCACCCAGTCTCCACAGCAGGCGAAGGGAAAGAAGGAAGGAGTCTCCAAAACAAACACCTTTGACCCTCCCTCAGATGCAGCCTGGCCAGGAGACAAACCTCCAGACACAACTCAGACTCAAAAACCTCCTCCTAGGTTGCCGTGGGGGACAAACCTCCGGCCTCAGAGACAGCTCTGAGAAAGAGGCAGCCAACCAACTCGCTCACCTAAAAATCCCAGACATGGGCAAAACTGGCGCCCAGGGACATGCGGACCAACGGCTGCCCACAGCCAGGGCTGGGGCAAAGGCCACAGAGCAGGGAGCACCCCAGCTCATGAACGCAGGGGACAGTCCAGCATCAGAACTCATCAAATGGATACGAAAGGGGTGCATTTCATGGAATGCAAATCACACCTCAATAAGGCAAAGAAGCAGGTAAGTGATTACTCTGTGGCCAGAGGCAGAGCTCTTGACACCAGCTGCCTGGAGTCCTTCTCTCCACCCCTCCATCAGGCCCTCTTCATGGGAAGAGCAGCAGACACTTTCCAATCTGCACGGACAGAGGAACTGGGATCACCCAGAAGAAAGAAAAATTCCAGACGTTTTTGGCCTTAGAATGCAGCTGTGAGACCTCTTCAATTCCTCTGAAAACTCACTCTCCCAAATATGTCCAGCTTCAACAACTGTTAAAACTAATTTCCATTTCCTTAGACAAATGCAAATACAAAGAGGAAGTTGGCCTCAGAGGAACAAGACAAAGTCTCCAGGGAGCATGACTTCCTATTCAAATAAGGCAGGCTGGGCACCACGGCTCAGCCTGTAATCCCAGCACTTTCAGAGGCCCAGTGGGGAGGACTGCTTCAGGCCAGGAGTTCAAGACCAGCCTGAGTAACACAGTGAGACCCCCTCACACACACACGCCGTCTCTACAAAAAATACAAAAAACAATTAGCCGGGTATGGTGGTACACCTGTGGTCCCAGCTACTCAGGAGGCTGAGGTGGGAGGATCACCTGAGCCCAGGAACGTGGAGTCTGCAGTGAGCTGTCATCGCACCACTGCACGTCAGCCTGGGCCACAAAGCAAGACCCGTCCTCAAAAAAATGAAAAACTACACAACATGAGAAGGGTGGGTAGGAACAGCTCCTCCACACAGGCAGGCCTCGGCCAGTGCCCAGCAGAGAGGTCCCTGCTAAGTACCCGTGCAGGACATTATGCGAGGAGGCGGATCTGGAGATAGTATTTGAGATTCTGTGCTCCAACCCCACCGTTTTTCAGGAAAAATAATCTCACCCTAAGAAGTGACTCTCCTGCAGCCACAGACCCGGTCCACGGCAGAGCGGGGCGCTGGCCCAGCCGAGATGTACTGACCCTGCCGCTCCCTGGCCTCAAACAGAAGCTACAAAGGAGAAACCCTCTTTTCCGAGCGCAATCCAGGAAAGCAAGCTCCCAACTTACCAGAATAGTATCCGCAAAATGTTGGCCACTAGCAGCACCAGGCACACGTACGTGGAGAAGCCATCAGCGTTCTGCGTCCTGCGGATGTCCCGGTACTGCGGGATGTAGGGCACCACCCCTCCAAAGACCATGGCCGCGGCCGCGCCCCAGGACACCAGCTGGTGCAGCGGCACCAGGAGCCAGTCCAGGCCCTCGGCCTCCATCGCGGCGCCCACCCGGTGGAGGCTATCACGGGCTCCGAGCCCCGCGGGCCGCCGGCCGCCTGCTCATCGCCGCTCCGCGCGCTTCTGCGGCCTCAGGGCCTGCGGGGAGCAGGGAGCCGCTCGAGTCCCGCCAGGGAGGCTGGGCACGCACGCACGAATCTTACCGGACCTGACCCGCACGGCCGCAGGACCCCGGGCAGAGCCGGGGCGACAACGACGCGGGGTGCGCGAGGGGCGGCCCCCGCCTGGGACCTGGGGGTGTCTGGGAACCCCTGAGAGGCGGCTGGCGGGGCTGGGGAGGGGCCCGAGGGCCGGGGGTGAGGACTGGCGCAGCCCCTGGGGTCACGGCCCTGGTGTGCTCACCCGACGGGGGTGCACGCGCGGCCCGGAATGGGGTCAGGGGAGGGGGCGCAGGGCCCAGGATGGGGGCGCACCGCTTGGGGAAGTGGGCGCAGGCCCAGGACCGGGACGCACGGCTTGCGGGAAGGGGTGCCGGGCCGGGAAGCCCACAGATTCACGTTGGGTGGGGGGTGCCCCCTGTCCTGCGTCCTCGGCCGCCCTAGGCCGCCCGGCGAGGATCCCGCGCCGCCGCCGCGCTCCTCACCTGCGCCCCGCGCCCCGCGCCCCGGCGCCGCTTACCCAAGCGCGCGTCTCAGCGTCATCCGCTCCGGCTCCGGGAAGCTCCGCCCCTCGACGTCACAATGCCGGGCTCCGCCCACGCCAGGGCTGGTGGGGCGGGGCCGGGTCCTAGAGCGCGCGAGCAGGCGGGGCGGGGGGGCCCGGGAGCGC